GGTAAAGTTCTTCTCGCTTTTAATTTAATTGGTGCATTTTAAGTGTATTTATTTATATATTGGTCCTTTTATACATTTATGGTTTTATTTCTAATTATGTCAGAATCGGTCCTCCACTGAATCAAGCGATTAATTAATAATCTGCATTATAACSATCAATAATCAGTGGTTTTATACAGGTTTGGGATGAAACTAAAGTATATTCTGCCTTTTGTTTGTCTGTAAATATCCTGTTCTGTTGTCTCGTCTTCATAATGTTTTTATTATAAAAACAAAAACGCATTTCTCATTTCAGTTTTTTTTTCTGCAGCAAACAGAAATAAAAACACGGCGAGTTGACGGCGGCGTCAGAACCAGGAGAGCGTTTTAATTTAAAAAGCCTTCAGGTGGCGTTCACAAAGAAGTTTTCATTATTTATCTGTCAGATGTGCTTTATTTATTGATGGAGTTTCATTTTACCTGATAACACAAGCCTCAGAGAGAGGCCGCGATGCGTTCAGGTGACGTCAGGATCTTTAGGTTTGGATTTAAACTTAACAAGCTCTGTTTTATTCAGCTTTAATGAGAGTCAGATGAGCTGAAAGCCTCGTTGTTCTGGGTCAGGTTCTGTTCGTGTTCCCTTTGATACGAGGAGGATAAAACACTGAGAGGCAGAAAATCATCAGAAAAACTCCGAAACATTAAGATTCAGAAACATTTCCTGTTTAATAATCGTCTGTTTGACGTGCAGCTTCAGGTGAATCCTGTTAATTAAAAGCTGCTGACGCGTCAGACCTGACTCCATCTGCACGTTCAAACCCTTCTAATCCAGACTTTCAACTAATTTATTCACCGTTAAATGGATTCAGAACCGAGCGCCGAAGTCACAACTCGCTGATTTTATTTCAATTTCACTGCGTCAAACGAAGAGAAGGCTTCCTGAAGGACTCACCTGATGAGGCTCACCTGTGTGTGATGGGCTTCGGTTCAGTCCGGCTCATCTGTGAGACGGCTGAAAAATAAAAATAAAACCTTTTAGTTTTGGTTTCATTTTCAGCTACTACCACGCCGAATCTCAGTTCCTGTAAAACTGAGTTCTGATCATTTTAAGTTAGTTAAATTTGACCTTATATTTAATTCTTCAAACATAAAACTCAGTTTAACTACAGAAAATGCATTTCATGCAAAAAATGCTAGTGTGAATGTTTCATGCTGAAACTGAGCTCAAAATATTTAACAGTTTGAAAAACTGAAAGAAGCAAAAAAGGCCTAACTTTGCAGAAAAACAGTAAAAAGGAGAATAAATCCAGTTGAAAACAACAGAAAACAGCTAAAAGCTAAACGCTAAAATAGCTGAAAACAACTGTAAGAAGCATAAGTAGCACAAATTAGAAGAAAAACATATGAGAATAGCAAGAAGAAGCAGACCTTCAGCTAAAATAGCAAACAAAGCTAAAATTATTATACAATAGGCTAAAATAGCAGCCACAAGTTGAAATTAGCACCTACATAGCAAAAGTGCTGTAAAAAATATAGCAGAAAAAAGCATAAAAGTAAAAAAGTGACAATTTGTAGTAAATTAGCAAAAACAGCCAAAATTTTCAGTAAAACAGCTAAAAAGTATAGCTGTCAATTCTGTAATTATTATAAGGAAGCATAAGGACGACAAGTTTACTGAAACTTAGCAGAACAAAGTTGTAATTGCAATATAAAAATGTGTATTCAGCCTAAGAAAAGCCAAGTTTAGCTTATAACAGCTGAACATTAGCTAAAGCTGCAGCAAATAGCTGAATATAGCAGAAAATGACTATTAAAAACATAAACAGCACAAAGTAGCAGAAGAAAGGACAAAAAATAGAAAAAGCAGAAGAGTAGCAGAAAGAAGCAGATATAAAATAGGCTGAAGGTTGGAATCAGCACCCAGACAGAGAAAGGGTTGTAAAAATTGTAAAACTAGCAGAACAAATGTAAGTACAAAAAAGTGATCATTTGTAGTAAAATAACAATTTTTTTCAGTAAAACAGTTAAACACAGTTGCTGAACTTAGCAGAATTAAGTTGCAATAGCTGCAAAAAATGTGTATTTAGCCTTGAAAAGCTAAYCTTAGCTAATAGCAGCTAACATYAGCTAAAATTTCAGCAAATAGCTGAATATAGCAGAAAGCATCTGTAAGAAGCATGAATAGTACAAAGCAGCATAAAAAGGTAGAATAGCAGAAAGAAGCAGAATTTTAGCTGAAATAGCAGAGAAAAGCTAAAATTAGCAAAATGCAGCTAAAATTAGCACAAGAAAGTGAAAAAGAGCAGAACCAGAACAAACTGTGTGAGGTGCTGAAAAGATTTAGAAACATTTTAAAAGATTTTAAGGATGTTGAAAACAGCTTCATTCATTTTCTATGGCAAAAAAAAGAGGCAAAAAACAGTGAAATAGCTGAAAAAGTATAAAAGCTGAAATACCAGAAGTACCCTTCACATAAATGAGCTGAATGTTATGAATTGTTGAAATTGCACAAAAATTGGGGAACGATGCTGAAAAACATACGTAAGAAAAAGCGATCTCATGCTGTGAAGAGTCACATTATTAAAACTCATTTGAGATATTTTGCTAACAATAAAAACTTCCATCAGAGCTACAAAACGTTTCGCTCCAGGTCAGGACAGCTGAATGAATCTGGCTGATTCTGCGTCCGCCACACATGGAGGACTTCCTGTGAGGACAGGAACCTGCAGGGATGTCTTCACCTCGCCGTGTCCTAGACTTGAGTCCCCCCCACCACCACCCGGGGAACCCAACCAGAACCAAGCCTTTAAACAACCGGATCCGGACTTGATGAACCAGAATCGACCTGTGAAATCGTCTGATTGCTGCTGCGGCGCTCAGAGTCCCGACGGTCAGCGAAGTACTCTCACACGCATTAAAAGGGACACGCTCGGTTCGTCGCCGCTTTCAYGTGGCTGACGCCTGGTGCATCGTGGGAAATGTAGGCTCTCTGCAGGGAGACCGACAGATACGGGTCTTTGTGAAACTGGTTCAGGGTCAGAGCAGACCTCTGGGTCAGACGACTTTATGAGGAACCCGGGTTCTGTGAAGGGTTCTGGAACAAACTGCAGTAACACATTCTCACTCCCAACTCGTCACATATTGATGCTTTTCCAAGGTTTCCTCTGCGTCTTATTTTGATGCGTYGGGKAACCACTTCGTGTCAGTTATTGACACACCARRCATTYCTGGGGTCTCTCGGCGTCCGGTTTTGATGCATCGGGACACAAAATACAGGTTCTTTGAGTTGGGGTTTGTGGTTAATATTAGGTATCAGGGTCAGGGACAGGATGTCTACAGTGAATAAAGGTAATTTTAGGGTTTGGGACGGTTAGTTTTTGTGCATTTTCTACACCTGTCACCTATTCCTCTGAACCCGCCCCATTTTACCTCCTCTTTATGTGTTATCTGACCTAAGCCCCCCACCAGGCTGTCTTGCTTTCTCGCGGGTTCTTTAACTCAATTTTCCTTTTGTGTATTTCAAGCTGTTKTTAAAGGTAGCACAACTGTGTTTGCTGCATGACCGGTTTCACCTGTTCCCATGTTTGTCTTGTATGTCTTCTTGAATGTGTGTTTCTTAACTGCCCCCTCCCCACTTCCCTGAATGTACAGCACCTTGTGAATTTATTTCTGTGAAAGGTGATATATAAACTTTACTTTACTTTACTTTACTTTACTTTACTTTACTTTACAGGGTACCTGATGCGTTAAAACCGGACGCAGAGGGAACCTGACCAAGTGTCAATATGTGACGAGTTGAGAGTGAGAATGGGTTGGCTGCAGAGGTCTGAGGAGGTCTGAGGAGGACTAAGGGGGTCATGTGGACCCTCAGAACTCCCGGGGTTTATTCAGAGAAAAAGGTGGAACACAAGAAGAACAAAAAAAACAGATGCAGTCTTTTTAGAAAAGATCTGGTGTTGTTGATGATTTGATGCAGATCAGACACTCTGTGTGTGTGTGTGTGTGTGTGT